ACCACATTGAGGATGCCCCAGTGCAGTATGTCCCGGCTCCTCAATGCACCATGAAAGGCTTGGTGCCCCAGGAGCTTTAGGCTCTTCAGGCCAGAGCAGCAGCTGTAGAGCAGGGTACACAGGCCTGAAAGCCCCCAAAAGTAAATTGGAAAAGGCTGTGCTCAAGGCCAGCAACGAAGGCAGGACTCCGCAGCCCAACTGCAGAAGACTAGTCAGTACAGTGTGTGGCACAGTGTAGATGAAGGCTAGGAGCCAGGCCAGGAAGCTGGGAGGGAGGACACCAGTAGGGAGTTGGGGTCCAACACCAAGGTCAGCACTTCTAGCAGCAGGCCCACACCATTCACCACCAGGTACGCAGCCTCCATGTCAGGGCTCTGGAGGTCAGTCAAAAAGAAGTCTAGCTCCCAGCTGAGGGGATGGCAAGGTTGCCAATACCTTGGGGAGGGTGATCTGGGATTAATTCGGAAGGGAAGTCAATAGTCTCCAGCTAAGGGAGAGAATTCAGAATCTGAGAAGGGGGGTAGAGTTGAGTGGGGTCTCAGTGGAGGGTGTGGGGCCCAGGTGCAGGGTCCAAGAGTCCTGGTGTTGAAGGCGGGCTGTTTGGGAGGGAAGAGGCCAAAGATCTCTACAGCGGAGGTGACTCTGGGCTGGAGGAGAGCCATCAGCTTTGGAGACCTGGTGGTGCGATACCACATCTAGGCAATGAGTCAGAACAAGAGACAGAGAATGGTTGGGATGGGGCTGGGCTGAGTGCGGCGGCACAGGCTGGGCATGGGCTCAAGGTCCAACTACGCAGGTGCCCCCGTCCCTGCCCAGCCCCCGTCCTCTGGGCTCTCAGCATTCTGTGCCCAAAGAGGGAGTGGGAAAGGGAGTCAACCTCCGCACACTCCAGGCACAGCCTCCACTCCATTGTGCTGTCATCTTGTGTCAATAGCTGTATTTTTTAAAAATACATTTTATCATCTCTTTTACACTCATACCATTGGACCAGAGAAAGCTCTCTTCCAAGCATGATGTTTAGCACCGTGGGCTCTCTCCTGGAGTCCCACTTGCGGATGAGGCCTATGATGAAGACAAAGGCAAGCTCATGGGAGGTTTTATAAGACAGGGCAAGGACTCTGGAGCTCATTCTTACTGTGATAGAAAGCCATTTAAGAGTTTTAAGCAGTGTAGTCACATTATCTAATTTATTTTTTCAAAGAATCATGTTGGCTGCTGTGGGGAGAATAAGCTAAAAGACAAGAGTGAAGCAAGGAAGGAGAGGGGAGGAGTCAGGGGTGGCTCCTAGTTTTACCTAAACAGCTGGGTAAACATGCTGGGATTTGGAAGACTTATGCGGCAGGGGAAACAGACGTGAAAGGAAGTTTTGGGGCAGGAAATCAAGAGTTCTGTTTGGACGTGGACAGTCTGAGAAATTTCTTAGCTGCTCTATCCCTCTTTATTCAGTGACATTTTGTTTAAACTGTGATTTTAGAATCTATCCCACCCTGAAAAAATTTGCTGCGTGCTTACTTGTTTTCCCAGCCAGACTACAAGCTCCGCCAGGGCAGAGGCTGTAATATTTAGTCCATATACTTAGATGAGGACCTTAAACAATGTAGCCAATTAATTTTAGTATGAATAAGCTTAGCTTTCTAGAAACTCTAGAGACTGCAAACCAAAAAAGGAAGAAAATACTTTATTAGCAGTCTCCATTACCTGGAACTCACCCTGAATAAGGTCAACAGAAGTTACAGCAGACCACAGACCATAAATCCACCTTCCCTCCAGCATATAAACACACACACACACACACACACACACACACACACCCCCGCCCCGCCCCTGCTCGAGAGGATATTGAAAAATAAAAATTGTACACCACAATTCTCTTTCCTTTCTCTCTCCTCGCACTGCCCAACAGGCTAAAAGGAAAGAAGGCTAAGGGGAAGAAGGTGGTGCCAGCCTCTGCCGTTGTGAAGACGCCAAGAGGCTAAGAAGTTGGGTAAATCCCATTTGATAAAAGGCCCAAGAATTTTGGCATTGGACAGGACATCCAGTCCAAAAGGGGCCTCACCTGCTTTGTCAAATGGCCCTGCTACAATAGCTGGCTGCAGCGGCAAACGGCTGTTCTCTATAAGCATCCAAAAGTGCCTCCTGCCATTAACTAGTTCGCCCAGGCTCTGTACCACCAAGCAGGTATTCAGCCTCTTAAGCTGGCCCACAAGTACAGACCAGAGGCAAAGCAAGAGAAAAAGCAGAGACTGCTGGCCAGGGCTGAGGAAAAAAAATGCCAGCAAAAGGGATGTCCCCACCAAGAAGCTACCTGTCACTCGAGCAGCAGCTAACACTGTCATCACCCTGGTGGAGAAGAAGGCCCAGCTGGCAGTGACTGCACACAATGTGGATCCCATCGAGCTGGCTGTCTTCCTGCCACCTTGTGCTGGAAGATGGGGGTTCCCTATCGCATTATCAAGGGAAAGACCAGGCTGGGGCATCTGATCCACAGGAAGACCTGCACCACCGTCACCTTCACACAGGTTTACTGGGAAGACAAAGCAGCTCTGGGTAAAAGCTAGTGGAAGCCATCTGAGCCAATTCCAATGACAGGTGTGATGTGATCTGCCACCACTGGGAAGGCAAAGTCCTGGGTGCAAGGTTAATGGCTCACATCATCAAGCTGGAAAAAGCCAAGGCTAAAGAACTGGCCATCAAACTAGGCTAAATGCACACTGTTGAGTTTTCTGTATATAAAAGTAATAAAAATTCTTCTAAATAAATAAATAAATAAATAACTTACTGAAAAACCTATCTACTGCATTTATTTATATTTTAGATTCTAACAGATTATTTGTATTAAGTATTTGTATAAACTTAACTATTTAATCCTTCTTAAAGCTGGTTTGAACACTACATAGAGTCAGAGTTTTTAAGACAGAAATTCACCAAATCCAGAGCCTTTATTTACCTATAGGGATAAAAAATTGAGGCCTGAAGAAACTGTTCAGCACTCAATAGTCATTTAAAAATGAAGACAGATACAGAAAACAGTTCACCTGTTTCCTACTACAGGATTTTTTTCTCCCCAAAGATTGGCTTCTTAATGAATAAAATGGATTTGGCTATTTTGCAATAAACTACTTATTCTGTTTTTATAACTTTTCTATACAGTGATGTCTCAATAAATTTTATAGGAAGGATATGCCTTAACATGAGGTCAGGCATATTAATAACTAAAACAAAATCAAGTGAAGCAGTGTTATCATATCATATGGCTTAACTGCAATGCTTTTGAGATAGTGGACACATGGAGGGTGTGCATGGGATAAACACCCGTACTCAAGGCCTATTCAGCCAGAGAGAACTGAAGGTAAATGGGGTCAACCCTATGTACAATGGTGACGTTTGTAAGGCTTGTCTTTATCATACCCAGCTTCCCTTTTATTCTTTATCTGTCTCACTGATAATCCCTCTTCCATTTCAAAGGCCTTCTTACCTATCTTCTCTTCTCTTTTCCTTAACAGAAAAGGTAGGATTTTTTTATCTGTTATCTATACTAGTTGGCTGACAAACTTAAGACATTACCTGAATGAGTTTTCATCAATATATTAACTCAACCAAACACTTCCGTTCTATGCCTTTAATCTTAAACTATGAAAAGAAAAAAATCTGTTCCTAGAAGCATTCCTCCCTTCCCCCAGGTCATTAAAATGACATGGTCTGAAGACAAATCAAGTATCAAGTTAAGGTGCAGAGAGTAAGAATGTAAAGGGAGAAAATAAGGATCTAAAGGGAGAGTACGTTGCACACTAGAACAACCAACACTATTGCTCCCACTTTTGGCATTGGGATATTCAGATATTGTGAAAGTTAGAAATTTAAAATTTCTAATGTTTGGGATAATTTTATCATTTATTGATTTGAAATTAGAACTCAAAATATTTTCACAGAGAGCATACATATACTTACCATGTTTAAAATTTAAGTATGTTATATTTGTGTAGGGCCTTATGCTTATGAAGTGTTTCATATATGCTATGTGATCAGAACTTCAATAGTTTATCATCATTTCTAGTTTCCAAATGCATATTCTTAGGTAATAAGTTATAATAAAAGGTACAGCCAAGAATGAGCATAAGAGTTCTTGATCCAAGTATTTTTCTACCGTAATATGTAACTTATAAAGCAATATTAACATAACTTGCATATGTAAACTGCAAACACTTTCAAAGTAGAAAATATTGTCCCCATATTTCTCAATAAATTACATCAATCTTTTCAAGCTAAAGTTTCTTCTTATTATAATCTCTGTCAAAAAAGATAACTGTTTAGTTATTCTTGGTTGTCTCTTTTTTATAAAAAAAATCAGTAATATATAAAATACTATAAAAAACATAGCCAATGAACAGAAATAGCCATCTTTCAATCTCAAAGTCAAATTCCCACATAAATGCTTTTTCTTTGATGTCCTTTGAAAACCTTATTCAAATTAATTTAAAACATTAGCCTAAAAATTTGCAATTGTACAGTTCATTTCAACTCAGTGATTCATGTAGATTTTTGTAACTAGTTTCTTTGCATATTTTATTAATTTGCCAGCTTTGAAGAAAAAAGAGATCACTGGGAGGTTGAATCCTGTCTCTGCCAAAATGCATTTTGCCTTGGATTCCTTGAAATGGATTATAACATATAAAATCAATTACGGTTCTTTACCTAAGAGAAATTGAATCAGATTTAAGAGTATACATGTTTAAAACTCACATTTTGCTATTTTTAAATTATTATCTGTTCAATGGAATAGAGGTTGACAGTATCTATTATCAAAGATAACAAATTCAAATTTGCTTTTGAAATAACTTGAGTGATTTTTGAAGGAAAAAACATGGTAGAATGTAATTCAGGCATGAAAACTGATGATTAGAATGCTATGAGCTGTATTTCTGAAATGAAATAAATGACACTCATGAAAAAAATAGTATCTGAACATTCAAAAGAATAGCCAAAGTAAGAGAAGCGCTCACCAGTCTGTGTGAAACCAAACTGACGAAGGATCTCTTGAGTGTCCAGCATGTTTGGCTGTTTTAACTTAGGCTGTTGTGAGAAGGGTGATGTTGAAGTAAGCGAGAGATTTTTGTTGACCTGTAATAGGAAAGGCAAATCAGAAACAAAAATGTAATTTCCTGGGTTACTGATGCAAAAACCGAATGAGAAATATTTGCTTACAATGCAAACCATGACACATGGTAAGGTCAAAGGGAGTGGTAATGATTTATATGCTTAATTTTCAAAGTTTACAAAACAGAATGGTTTTTATCAAGGAAGGAATACAATGGCGATGAAAACATAACTATATTAAAGTAAACTTGCTTTATTAAATAAAATAAGTTGGCTTATTATGGAACCGACATTAATAATATAAAATAGAGCAGTATTAAATGTTATGCAAAGAAATGCAAAAAATAAAAGTGACTTCTTGACAGCTTTCAATTAAGAGTTACAATGTTTCAGACCCACATTTCTCTAGCATTTTGTAAAATAGTAGGTACTTCCTTTAAAAAGCCTGCACAGAAAACACCTGTAATATTCATGTTTATATACATCCTGGTGACATAGATAACACAGCTGTAACCTAACTTGCCAAGTAAAACAGATCCCACTGCATCAAAAAACCTCATTCTTAAGACATGGTTTAAAAACAGCATGAAAATAATGATCAATTCAAATTTCTGAAGCAAATACAATGTTCCATAAAACAAAACCTACTATGATTTTCTGTGTTTAATGGTCTCAAAGAAATGAAATTGCATAAGAAGTACTATATATAACTACAGCTACTGTAGGAAAATAAAGAATAGCTCAAAAGAAAGTATTAAATGTTTATTAGTAGATTCATCTTGTAACTTAGAATTAATTTCAGCAACGATCCAGTTTCATTCATTATTGTTATTTTTATCACTTTCAAAATCTAATTTTGGAAAATTTGAAAATTTGAATTTCTACTTTACTGAAAAAACATAACTTATGAATTACCAAAACATTAAATGACAGTTTATAGTACATAAATATTTGTATATGAAAATAGCTGTCCTTTCTCCCTCTCTTTTTTAAATACTCAAACCATACAGATGACTTCCATGTATTAGTATTTAAAAATTCCCTTTTGATGTTTTGTATTAAATAGTACATTGTGTTTACATGCCCTTTATCTGACTCATTACTGTTTGTAAATGCTGCTCTTCTTTCAAACAGCAATAGTAAATGGTATATTTCAAATTAAGTTTTTCTCCTTGAGGCAAAGAGCTATTACATAGTTGGTGAAAAAGCCAATTAATTAAGACCATATAATAATATAGTCCTAAAGTTACTAAATTATTATGATATTATCTTATGAAAAACAAAAATATTTTTCAAAGTAGTTAGATGAGGTCCTAAATACCACATTAGTCCTAAAAATAATTATCCGGCTTTAAAAATTCTATCAGGAGCCATTATTAAACATTGGCCAAAGTTAATGTTGACTATTTATATTAATATCAATTATACCTAAAGTAATGAAATCATCTAACATTTTTGAGTTTCACTTTCCATCTTTAAGTGAAGATAATAAAAATAGTATGTACGCTTCAATGGGAATGCGTTGTAAAATGAGAGTAAAAAAGATGAACTAGTATTAAAGAGTGCTGTTCACATATGCTGACCATAAAGCAAAGGGAAATCACAAAGTGCTATAGAAGTAAAGTGCTTCATAAATATTCGTTATTATTATTAGCATCACTAGAAGAATAACTAGAAATATACATAATGCAGTGAATTTTTCACAGTGCTATGCTTTTAAATGGAAGTACTATACACAAAATTATATATTTATCATTTAACTATTTAGTCCACTTCTCTTTTTAGAATCATTTTTCAGTTTTACTTCTGTGTTCTTGAAAATTTTTATCCTACGTGTCAAACAATGCATTTTGAAATCTGGTGCAAAAGAACAGGTGTATGCTGGCTGGAAATGCGCACGCGCGCGCGCACACACACACACACACACACACACACACACACACACATGCTTCAGTCTTCCTGTTCAGAAATGTACTTGTGCTAAAATCAAAAGGAACACCAGGAAGGCTAGAATAGAATACTTAAATGCATCCACTCAATACAGAAAGACGTATCGCTTTTTAAAAATGAAGTGCTGTTAAAAAACCCAACTATAATCTACAATTATATGTTCTTCTTAAAGCATTTTTATAATTCTGCTTTCTTGACCCATTTCTTTAGAGACTATCAAATGTTCATAAAGTGATGAGTGGCAACATAAAGCAGATAATTAAATTTTTAAAGTTTGAGATAACTGTTAATTATTATATTGATTTGAAATTAGAACTCAAGAGTTATTTTCAAAGATAGCCTACACATATTCACTACTTCATTTAGAGGAAGAAAAGTAATAATAACCATTAAATGGAGTGAAGCAATATCTATTTTTGAAATACATGCTGTGGAAAAGAATTGCTTAATAATTTTACAACAACAGAAAGGTTGACTAAGATAGTCTACCCTACACCAACCTACCCCCTTTTCACAACATGCTTTTCTGCTTGCTTCATGCAAAAACCACAGTCTGCCAGAGTCAGTTTATTACCTCCATAATGGGGAAAACTAAAAGCATACAAATTTAATGAAATTGATAATAGAGAAAAAGAAAAAAAAAGTTACCTGAACTTCTGCCATGTCAATTACAAAACTGTTTTGCCTACTCTTTCTGGGGTATAAGCACCTTTGTGCAAAATATGCAAATACTAATTTTCTAGGAGGGGATTAGTTTTCCTGTTAAACAAGTTAAAACAAGCTAACAATTAGTTTCTCTTTTGGTGATTAAATTTTAAAAACTTTGGGAGAGATATAACACTCATTTCATATATACATATGTGGGGACTAACAAAGTAATTTTCTTCCTACCTTCTAAGTCCTTCTAACTGGGCTAATAATTAAATTAACAGGAGAAAACTGTGCAAAGCTTATTACACAAATGCACATTTTGGGGTGTCATAAGAATGAGACCCAAAGAGGCATTGGCCCATTGAGGTATTATATGTCATTACAAACAAACGAGTAAGGGGGCAGGGAAATGGGGAACAAAGGAAATTCACAGGTAGCTGAAATGAGCAAAACACACTTGGTAAACTCCTGCTTGGCAACTCAGAAACAATGGGCCAGTGGTGCGGAGGTAGGACAAAAGGCCCCATATGACCCTCCCCATCTAATGCTATGGAATACGCTTAGCTTCTCCTGGAGCAGGCCTTTCCATGTGAACCCCTTAGGCTGCCAAGGGTGAGGGTCAAAGGTTCTTTCCGAGTTGTTTCTTAACCTGTTTAAAAATCAATATCCCAGAGAGCACATTTTGAGTGGCAAAACTTTGGTCCCCTTCACTCACGAGACTAATCCTTTTAGCTGTGTTTAGGTTATAGACTACATTTACATTTAACTACACTCACGCTTCAAAGAAACTTCAAATTGATTTTAAATTTTAACTGAAGAAATGCTAATACTGTCTATATATATATGTTCACAAATTTGTCCTCTTTCCTCAAGATGGCTGTTTATTTTTTCTACTAAGTTTGAACAACAATGTAGATAATACTTTAATTTGAAGTTTTGGTGGCAAAAAACACCAAATACTCAGGAAATGTTTTGTTGCACATCATACATCTGTTATAAAAGTTAAAGTACAAGTTAAGCAGAAAACTTGAGCCACAGTGATATTCAACGTATCTGAAACCTGGCATCTTAATATTCTCCTATGATAAATTCTAAGAACAGCTTACTATGTCCTCTGATATCTAGGTTAGTAAAACCTAAGAAATGAGTAGCCTATGGTGTCATAAAGAGACATTAAAACATGATCTCTAGGTCTTCCGCTATTTCCCTTATAAGCCAGGACAATGAAATGAAGAATTAGGAAGACACACTGATACTGTTGAAGAGAAATTTTTACAGTGGGTTAGGATAAGGTGCCAAAAATCTCACTCAAATCAGTTCATCACTACCACATGAACTAAAACCGGAATTAAAATTCAAATTATGCTTAACTAAGTTTTATTTGTAATATTTAAGAAAGATTTTTTGAGCCTTCAATATATACACCAAGAACTGGTGATTCAAAGATTACCCATATGATTCCCCTGCATGAAGCTCAAAATTAAAATTTAGTCCTGGTTGAAACCATTTACCCAAAAATATTTCCTAGTGAAAGCCAATTTACCCAATGATTCTTGGTTTTTTTCCAAATCTTTACTCCATTTCCTTACTTCATGGGAAACTGGCCTTGACCCTATGAAATTCTCAGCTTAAAACCCATGAAAATAGAAACAGAGGCATGGACACATGGAACAGACTGACATCTGTCAGGGAGGAGAGGGAAGGGGAGACTGAATGAAAGAAGGTGAAGGGATTAGCCAGAGGACACATGTATATAACTCACAGGCACATACAGCAGTGTGGTAAGGGCCAGAGGGTGGGGGCTCTGGGGGCTGGGTAGAGATGGGCAAAGGCGGGGGTAGCAATACAAATAAAGGGGAAAAAAAGAACAAACCGGTACCTCTTGCACCTTCCCTCATCTCTCGTGTTCTAGTGTCAGAGGCAGAGATGCCCTTCTGTTCAAGATTAAGCCCTCCATCTCTTCCTGAGAATATCCTTAAAGGTCTTCCAAATTCTACTTGCAAATTTTCTATGGGCTGTTTCCCTACAGGCTATAAACATCGATCTTTCTACTTTAATACAAAAACAAATAGCAAATGACAAAAAATTTTCACTGATTCCATTTCTTTAAGCTTCACTGAAAGCTAAACTCCTTGAAAAATAGCATGTCACTGCTATCTACGTACTTCAACCATTCAATTTTAACCAGTTACAATGAAGCTTTTCTCCATCACAACGCCAAATCTGAAGTCAAAGTCACCCTGGACTACAGAAGATCAATTTTAGTAAGATTCACCAAGGCCTCAGATATCACACACTCTTGATCATGTCCTCTCTCTGTTACTGGAAAACCATTTCTGTTGGTTACGCTGTCATTACTTATGAGTGTCCTCTGCTAGACCCACTGGGCTCTCTCTTGTTCCTTCATATCATATTGGCTTCAT